CCAGACCGCATCGTTTCCCAGCCAATAGAACTGCCTATTGTTTCATTGGTAATCTCCTATTGAGGGGGAAAAAAACTTAAGAACTTGTAGTTCCAGTATGTCAGCAATAATGCAACCAAAGAAATACAATTAAGCAATTGAAAGACAACTCTACTACCCCTGTAAATTGTAGCCAGTTCTTAATTCACTGAAAAAATGAACACAACAAGAGAGGAAGCAAAATTTTCAAAAAAACTTCCCCCCTGAACAGAGATGGAATCCATTCGTCAACAACAAACAAACAAAAATCCCTCTCTCAACCGTGAGTATGAACAGCTTCCCACACCATGTTCTTGGGCACAGGATTCGCCAGATCCCTGGCCTGCACCGCCACCGCCCTCAACGTCTTGATCGTCCACACGTTCGCCTCCAAGAACGAGTAGCTCCGGTACGGCAGGTTGTGCTTCTTGCACAGATCCTGAACCACCGGCGAAACTTTCCTCAGCTGGCACCTCGGCAGCCTGGGGAACAGATGGTGCTCCAGCTGGAACTGCAGCCCGCCGTGGAACCAATCCATCCACGACGGGCACGAGATGTCCACCGTGCCCCTCGTCTGCTTCTCGAACCAATCGTTCGCCCTCGGCGGACCCATGTACACATTCGCCGGGAAATGGTTGAGACAAAACTGAACATGCTGGATCGATGTCACCGCGAACGAAGTGAGCACGAACATGAACCTCTCGGGCCAATTCGGCAAGCAAGCAACCAAAAGAGGGAACCAGGTCCAGAAAACCAAAATCCCGGCTATGTTCAACGCTCTGTCCGGGACAATTCGTTTGGGGGAGAATAAGAGGATGAAGGTCTGGAGGTAGAGATTCACTCTGGCGACGCACATTACCGGGTAGAACGTCCAGTGCTGGTAGCTGACGAGGAACCTCGCCACGGGATCGAAATCTAGGTTTCTGCCGTAGAAGACGGATCGGATCGATTTGAAGAGCCGGGTCGAGACTGCGAATACAGGGATGTGCTGCAGATCTGGATCGTAATCGAGGCTGTTCACGGCCAGATGGTGGGCGTTGTGCGTCCACTTCCACCACGCGATGCTGATCCCGGTGAGGCAGTTCCCGGCGAGGAGCTGGGCGAGCTTGTTGTACCCTCGGGTCGTCATGACCTGGTAGTGACCCGAATCGTGACCCACGTACGCGCTCTGGATCCAGAGAAACCCTAGCAGCGTCGCCGCCCCAAAGTGGGCCCAGGGGGATTCGCAGCAAACGACGCCGTATACGACCATCGCGAACAGGGCCGCCACGGCGGCGAGTGCCGAGACGGCGACGTGCCCCTTCTTGTCGAAGAGGCCGAGCTTGGAGAACTCGGCGGCGAGGCGGCGGTAGTCCTTGGAGACGTCGGAGACGGCGTAGTCCTCGAGGTGGTAGCCGGTGAAGAGCGGGTCGAGATTCTTCCAGGCGGTGCCCGGGTGGTAGGCTATGAATGCGTCGGTGACGTCCTGGCCGGCGACGTTTGCGATGGCTACCTCGCCGCCCGGGTGCCGCTTCACCCACTCGGAGACGTCGTAGACTTTCCCCTGGATCGAGATCCAGAGGTCGCCGGGCTTGTTGTGCTGCTTGAGGTCCTCGCTGGTAATGTATTTCTTTTCCACCGCCATTGTCGATTTGAGAGGAGGAGAAAAGAAAATAAAACGGAAGGGAAGAAGGGAGGAGGCAGTAAAGTACTGGAGAAGAGGGAAAGAGAAGAGGAGAAATTATTATAAATATAAAGAAAAAAGAAATAGTCGGAAGTCGGAACGGAGAAACCCACAAGGAATCAAATTACAGAAAATCCTGCCGGTTATTTAAGAAATATAATAATTTAGGAGAAAGATCAAAATATCTTCTCAGAGAGAACACACCCGGAAAAAGTCTGGATTTCTTTTCCTTTTTTAACTTTTTTTGTTGGGGTTTCGTTTTTCTTGTAGAGTGGGTGGGTACCGGGTCGCCACGACGCGGCCGCTTTGTAATTTGATTTTTTTGCTCTAACGGGTATCTCTATCTCCCTGTTCCTATTTCCTACTAATTCTTTTTTATTTTTATAATTATGATCTCTCCCCTTCTCTTTTCCTTTTCTTTTTGATTTTTAGTTGGCATCACTTCCAGGAGCTGTTTTATATGCAAAACGGGAAATTAGTAAAAGGCAAAAAAAAAAAAAAAACAGATGGAGGGTTGAGGTTCTTGGAGGATGAATAAGAGGTGGTGGGCCACTGTGTCCTGCTGGCTTTTGTCGTTATTTAATTATCTATTAGATTGACAGCCATTGTTGCTTTTTTGTTTTTCCGTTACTAAACAAACCAAAGAAGAGAAAAAGGAAGACTTTCCGTTTGGCATTGACTAAGGATGGCAACGGGGCGGATTGGGGGCGGGTACCTACCTCCCGATCCCCGCCCGTCTAGACTGACGGATTTCCCCGTCCCCGTCCGCGTAGGTTAATCGGGGGAATTTTGTCTACCGTTCCCGTGAGCAGACGGATCAGGGATCCCCACGAATCATGAACCAAGGATTGGAGATGCAGGTGTGATTGGAGATGCAGGCACGATTTTGAGGAAGAAGAGGAAGAGAGAAGATCGGAGTGATTGGAGCGGGCGTGATAGAAGATACTGCCGCGATTTTGGCGTTGCATGATTTTGGTGATGCTGGCGTAGAGTTGCAAGAGCGTAGGGAGGAGGGGAAGAAAAAGAAGGGAGAAGAAGGGAGGAATGACTGGAGGAAGAAGAGGAAGAGTGGAGAGGGAAGGGGTGGCTGGAGCCGATTAGAACAGGGAGGGAGGATAGGAAGAAGAGGAAGAGTGGAGAGGGAAGGTCAACAGTCGGTTGCACAAATGAAGATTAGGGTTTTTTAACCCTCAATTAGTTTATATATTAATATATGGCTTAATTGCAAGTTTGGTCGCTCGAATTGCTACAAAATTTCACGTTTGCCACTCAAATTAATTTATTCCATTTATAGTCACTTAAATTAGGTTAACAGTCCAAGTTTGGTCACTGGCCGTTAGTCTCCGTTAACTTTTGCTGATGTGGCGGGCAACTCTTATAGTTGACCGTTAAATGAGTGACGTGGCAATTAAAAAATTAATAAAATAATTTAAATTAAATATTTTTATTTTCCACCTAATTATTATAAATATTTAAATTAAATATTTAAATTAAATATTTTTATTTTCCACTCTACCGTTCCCAACAACTGGAGCTGGCGGAAGAACCCGGCAATGTCGAGGCTTAGGACCTGGACCACCTCCTCGTCCGCGAAGAAAATCGAGTTCCCAAAAGCTTCGGGCAAGGCTGAGATGTAGCAATTTCGATAAACCGGGACGAGAGCAAGAGCGTTATCTTGTAATTTCTCGATGATGGCTTTAAATTTGGATGAATTGCAGGCCGGGTTCCGCAGGATTCGACCCAGAAGTAGTTGTGGCGGACGTTGTTGGAGAGGTCGAGGGCAGAGAGGTCGCGTAGTATTTGGAGGTGCGGGAGGGAGGAAGATCGTCAGTTGGGGAAATTGGGGCCAAAAGGGATGCCCTCGCGGAGAATGGCATGGAGGTCCTGCGGGAAGTAGAATTTGAATTTGGATTCCAATTTGGTCCCTCACTCTGCTTTCACGATGTTCTGGCTCGAACATCGATGGCAAACGGCGGAGGAAGAACGACGTCTGGGGAATCGATTGGGTTGTCGCAGCTGCAGGAAACGATTAGGTTGTCGGAGGTTCCTAAAAGGAAGAAGAAGAGCGATTGGTCTGGTCTCTCCCACCCAGGCACGGCGGAGGCGTCGGCTCTTTTTCAGAAACCGGCGAGCCTAGTCATCGTCAATTTTTCTTTCTAGTCATTAGTAATTTATTTTTATTTATATAATAATTAGGTGGAAAATAAAAATATTTAATTTAAATTATTTTATTAATTTTTTAATTGCCACGTCACTCATTTAACGGTCAACTATAAGAGTTGACCGCCACATCAGCAAAAGTTAACGGAGACTAACGGCCAGTGACCAAACTTGGACTGTTAACCTAATTTAAGTGACTATAAATGGAATAAATTAATTTGAGTGGCAAACGTGAAATTTTGTAGCAATTCGAGTGACCAAACTTGCAATTAAGCCATTAATATATATAGTGTCCAAAACGACGTCGTTTTGGAGGGCCGGAGCGGGGACGGGGCGGATACCACGAGATCCATCGCCACCCGTTACTCACGGATTTCGGGTAATGCCCGAATCCGCCCTTTACCCACGATGGACGGGTAAAATGCTCACCATCTGAGTGGGTTTCGGGTGGGTATGCGGCGGGTCGGTCAATGTTGCCATCCCTAGCATTGACCGACGGAGGAGGGTCCGAGGGTGAAATAGGAAACTGCAGTTTAAGATCTCTTTGGGGTTAAGATAGCTCCTTCCACCAGTACAGAGCGCGTTCCCTTCAACTGAGTCTGAGGCAGAGACAACAAGCGTGGAATGAAAAATTCATGCCGCCATTCCACCACACATTTTCATTTCTTTTTTCTCATTCCAAAGAGAATAATGGAAAATTGTACCACTTTTTCCCCCCCAGCAAGTATCATAACAGCCTCCGAGAAGGTTCCGTGCTTAAAGAGAGTTTCTGCTTCTAGATGGTTGAGGAGAGACGATGCAGAGTCTTTGGAAAATGAATGTTAACTATAAACGATGCAGATAAACTTAGAAACAGTCTCCTGAAAGTTGCAAGGGAGTGCAGAGGAAACGAGTTGTTTACTAACCAAGCTGGAGAGGGGACAAGCTCGGCGGAGTTATCTTCTCATCCCCATACAAGATTTGGCAGGCAAAACTTGTACCTGCACAAGACCATTAAAAAAACAGTCAAACCATCAGCACGACATGAACCTTTCGTCATGCCATCGAACATTGTAATGTAAAGTAGTTTCTCAGCCAGATGCTCTACGTTAGCTGTTATTGCATCCAAAGTTGCATAAACAACACTAGCATCTAGGTGGCTAACTTCTGGTTTCCACAGAGAATAATAACACGACGACTACTGTTCAGCTCACATTGCAAAGCTGGTGGGTTGCCCTGAAATATAATCTGCACAATCGGACAAAGTTTTTGTTTTTGTTTCTGCTTTAAACTAATGGCACCCAGTTCTACTTTAATCTTTAGGTTATGTGTGAGTGGATCAAACGACGGCAGCATAGAGCCTAGAGTGGTAAAGGCTGATTGATGCTTCGTCACTCGCACCTATCACGGGAAGAAACCCAAATCCAGGCCATGGAAACCGCGGCGGAGAAGGACCATCTACTGTGTCAAAGCCAGTCAAGCTTTCAATCTCGAGAATCCCACCAGCCCGGATCGAGTAACCTTGAATCTACTGATTTGATCAGAGCCGTATGGCAGGAATCGAAGAACTTGTGGCTCATTGCCGGGCCGTCGATCTTCAGCCGGGTCGCCATGTTTTCATTGACAGTCGTCACCCAAGCGTTCGCGGGCCACTTGGGCGAACTCAATCTCGCCGCCATTTCCATGGTTTGCTTTGTCATCATCGGCATCAGTTTCGGCTTCCTGGTAAAGCTAACGAAGAAATCCAGCATTCAAATTTGGTTCGCTGATTTGAATCGTTGAGAACCCTTTTTTCTTTTCTCCCAATTTGGGTTCCAGTTAGGAATGGCGAGCGCGCTGGAGACATTGTGCGGCCAAGCATACGGAGCAAAACAATACCATATGTTGGGAATATATATGCAGCGTTCCTGGATTGTGCTGTTCTTGTGCTCCCTACTGCTTCTGCCATTGTTTCTGTTTGCAGCGCCGCTATTGAAATTGATTGGGCAGCCAGCAGATGTGGCAGAGAAGACGGGTCTTGTGGCTCTATGGTTGATACCATTTCATCTGAGCTTCCCGTTTCAGTTCACATTGCAAAGGTTCTTGCAGTGCCAGCTTAAGGCGGGAGTCGTCGCGTGGGTCTCTGGTGGAGCTCTTGTTCTCCATGTTTTAGTGAGCTGGGTTTTTGTTCACAAGTTGCAAGTTGGGATTGTGGGGGCTGCTATTACGATCGATTTCTCTTGGTGGGTCACGGTCTTGGCCATGTTCTTGTACTGTGTTTGTGGTGGCTGCCCGAAATGTTGGACTGGTTTCTCGGATCAAGCTTTTTTGGGACTCTGGGACTTCTTCAAACTTGCAGTGGCCTCCGGAGTTATGCTTTCGTGAGTATTGTATGTCCTAAGGTTCATGAATGATTGATCAAAATTCTGTAGTTAGGTTCATAGTAGAAGCTGATTCAATGTTTCTGCTCTTTTGGTGAATGGTTTGCAGGTTGGAGAACTTCTATTACAAAGTGTTGATTATAGTTTCTGGGTATATGCAGAATGTTAAGGTCGCAATCGATGCCCTCTCTATCTGGTTTGTTACTGTTGCAATCGCCAATCACCTTCTTTTGGTTGCGCTGTGTCATTCCTTTATGGCCAGCTTTCATATGTGTTTTGTTACTAATCTATATTTTGCTTCCATTGGCAGCGTAACAATTTATACCTGGGAGTCCATGATTCCACTTGGATTTTTAGCTGCAGCCGGGTGAGTTTCTTATTCTGAAATGAAATTCCGTGCTTGGAAGTTGACTCATGTAGGATAAGTGATTACTTTTTTACTACGCACTCATAAACATCACAACTGACTCAAGTGTTTGACTTGGTACACTATCTAACTTAGACTTATAGTTGTTATTCACTAACAGAAGCTCCTTTGGCAATCGGAAAGCAGTTTCATATACAAGCATGGCTTCATTTGAGAATTGGAACTTGATCTTATTACTCTTGGATAGATACGTCGCACCTTGCTTCCCAGCTAAACTAGTTCTTGCTATTGATAGAAGTTCTATAAATGGATGGGTTTCCCCATTGCATTGGATGGACTTCTGTGATTTGAGAGTCCATGATTGGAAAAACTTATCTGCTGGTCAGTGAAATGTTCAAATGCAGTATATAGTCAATTCCAGGCTTCTGTCCTGGCTCTATGTCATCTCATGCTTTAATAACCATTAATTCGAGGTTCATTTAGCATATTGAAGAGAATTATAGGGAGCGGGGAAAGGCGTAGGTTGGTGATGGTTAAGTGTCCCCGTTATGGCATGAAGACAAAATGTTTTTGGATCCCTGCAACACCTTTTTTAACCTGTACTCTTACTTTCTATACCGTGCCCGTGGGAATACTACTGGTTTTGAATTTGGAGGTACCTAGTTTTGTTTCCAAAGGTTTCAATTCACGAGTCAATAGCTTTAGTCTTTTGAGGAGAATTCATCCTCTCCAACTTGCCCATCGATGCAACATCCAGGGTGCGGGTTGCAAATGAGCTTGGTGCAGGGAATGCTAAAGGGGCTCAATTTGCAACCATTGTATCAGTGACAACATCAGCAGCTGTTGGACTGTTCTTTGGCATAATCATCATGGTCTTTCCCAAAGAACTTGCTGCAATCTTCACATCGAGCTCCTCCGTTATATCAATGGTCAATGAATTGGCAGCGTTGCTGGCTTTCACCGTCCTTCTGAACAGCATTCAACCGGTTCTTTCTGGTGAGTAACATTGTCATTGCCTTACAACATGGTGTCTACATTTAGCCAAAGGCTTTATGAATATGAACTTGTTTCTTTCTTTCTTCTGGGTTTTTCCTTTTCAGGTGTGGCCGTTGGATCAGGCTGGCAAGCATCGGTGGCATTTGTAAACATAGGAAGCTACTACATTGTCGGACCGTTAGGAGTACTCTTCGGTTCGTGGTTGCTTCACTTTGGTATCCAAGTAAGCCCTGCCGACGGATTCGAACTGACTGTTGTTGATCCATTTCATCTGTTCCCAGAATCAATTTTACATTATATATCTATACCTTGGGCAGGGTATTTGGGTCGGAATGCTAGCCGGAACTGTGGTTCAAACGTTGGTGCTAACTGTAATGACCCTGAGATGCCAGTGGGAGAAAGAGGTTAGTGTAGGAACTCGAATCATACTCGGCATATGCACCATCTCAGCCTCATTTTCATAAACACACTTTATGATCGATTGTTCCGATGTTTCTCAGGCCGAAAAAGCTCGATCCCAGGTTGAAAAGGGTACCAACCATTTGGGATTCTTCTCAAGCCTCTGATACTGTTGGAGTCGAGAGTTTACGTATTCTTAGGTGGAAGAAGCTTATTCTTACCCTTTTCGATGGAGGGAGATATCTTTGTAATGGACTTAGTTTTTGGGTCTTGGTTTTGACCAACAAATAGTCTAGAAATTGTTATAAATTTTTGTAAACCAAAACCTCATATTATAAATTTTGGTAAAAAAAACCCTCATATTTTATAAGTTGTAAATTTCTACGAATAAAAGAACAAAAATTTCTACCATAACTTAAATCCAGACTTAACAAAGAAAAATACCACCTTTGAACAAGCCCAGAATAAACAGGCCGCTGACAAATTTACAGAGTCCAGACCAGCCCAAGCCCAAAGACGGGAAACGAAAGACGAGAGACAATGACGAATCTACCCCGACGTAGTTCAACGAATTGCGGGGAATGCCTAGAAGTGTAAAAATCCCACCGCCAAACAGATAATACGCATCCGGCCCCGGCAAAAAAGCCAAAATTCCACTCCTCCGCTCTCCTCCTGCTAATCGCTCAACACAGTGCGCGCTCAATTCTCCGGCACCGACCTCGAGTCAGCTAGTTGCCGCCGTTCCAGCTGCGTCGCTTTCTTCCATTCCATAACCCTAATTCCCTCCGAAGATTCATCAGTTATACACGCTCTCTCTGGCTCGCCAAAGGTATGCTCAATGCCGCCTTGACCCTCATTCTCCCGGGAACTCTAGGTTAAAGCTATTTCTCCCCATTCGAGCGTACTTCCCCGATCGAAATCGCTTGCTGGTTCGCCATTGCGTCTTGCTGATTTTGCTGTTGGAGATGATTGCAGCCTTTAGATTTAGTTGTTTTTGTTTAATTCGTTCTGTACTGGGGTAATTTGTTCTGGTTATGTGGCTGATAGCTGACTCAGCGATGGGTGTATCTGCCGAACGACTTCCTTGGGTGCTTGGAATGTTCTGTAGCGTGAAACTCCTATCTCATTGAATGATATTTGCTTCTGTTGCGCTTAATAACAATCCACTTAAGCGTCCTGATGGTTTCAAATCGCCCATGTCTTGGCATTATCTTTCTTTTTCTGTTTATGTGCTCACCTGAAAACATCGGGCTGAGTCCTTGGTGGGCAGTTGTTTCGAGGGGTTTTCGGAAAGAATTAAGCAGCAATGACTTGGGTCGTTTTGTGTTCATGTGTTGATTTCATTTCACCTGCTTTATGGGTAACCGATTTTGAGATGGGGCTCGTGTTTTTATTGGTTAAGGTAGTTCTGCAATGGCGTCTGTATCCAGCCAGCCGCAGTTCCGTCTCACTCAACCGCCTTCGAAGGTGCTGCACCTAAGAAACTTGCCATGGGAATGCACGGAGGAAGAATTAATTGAGCTGGGAAAACCCTTTGGTAAAGTTATCAACACTAAGTGCAATGTGGGTGCAAACAAAAATCAGGCCTTCATTGAATTTGTGAGTGTTCAAATGATTTCCCGCTAACCCACCTCTTCTCTTTCCCTTTTGATGATGGAACGTATTAGCGATGGACGTTGTGAACTGTCTTGTAGGTGGATCTGAATCAAGCCATTGCTATGATATCATACTATGCTTCATCTTCAGAGCCGGCCCAAGTGAGAGGGAAGACTGTCTATCTGCAGTATTCTAACAGGCAAGAAATTGTGAACAACAAGACAACAGCTGATGTTGCGGGAAATGTATTACTTGTGACCATTGAAGGTGCTGATGCTCGCCTTGTCAGCATTGATGTCTTGCACCTGGTAAGAAAAACAAGTGGTCTGGTGTTTTTGTTACAGGAAGTAAGCATGTTCCGGAAGCAATTTAGCAATTCGTTTCTTAGGATGCAGATAGTTTCAGAAAGCTTTTTGTTTGACTAAGTGTAATGGATCAGCAGGCCCATCTCAAGGGAATATCTTTGATGGCAGCTTAGTGCATCAGGAGAAAGAGCGCATGTGTGTTTGTCTCCTTTCTCCTTTCCCTACACTGGCTCTTTCTTCCCTACTCTTCCTCTCCAATCCCCATTCCTACCGTTGAGACAGTTTATGTTTTGTTCGTGGGTGGGTTTTCAAAGCAAAGGATTTGCATCAATTCTGATGCAAGTGGTTCTGCAATTAAGTTAATTACTTACTCTTTCGAGAGTAACTTAGGCGTTGTTTAGAGCGTTCTTTAACTCCACTGTAGTGGCATTGTGGCTATGGCATTTGCCTGCACTTATACATTTTGGATAGTCTAACTCCTCTAAAGTTTCGTCTTTTATCTTTCAACTGTATTTTCCTGTAGGCGATGTCAGCTTTTATCGGCAAATTATTCTGTTATAGTTTGTTGTGCTGAAGAAAATGAAGCTCTATGTGGATAGCATGCCTAGTTATTAGATTTTAATTGTTTTGTTTCTCAACCGTCCATGCTAGTTTTTATTTCTAAGTTTGTGTTTGGTGCAGGTATTTTCTGCTTTTGGTTTCGTGCATAAGATTACAACTTTCGAAAAGACGGCTGGGTTCCAGGTATGCACCTAAGTTATAATTTCCTTGCATCCAAGATTCATTCTATCCTTGAAGCTCATCTTTACCATGTGAACCTTTCAGGCGCTCGTGCAATTTTCCGACACTGAGACTGCTACATCTGCGAAAAATGCTCTCGATGGGAGAAATATTCCTAGGTGACGGTTGAATTAGTATTTTTCACATGGTATTTAGTCCCACTGCTACGATATGTAACTTTAAATGCAGATCCGTTCATTAAGAAAGAGCCTTTTCGGCCTTTCATTTAGCACTCTTTCTAGCTATTATGAGTTGTCATACTGTGCATGTTGGTCGTTCTTGGAACTGCCAGATTATTTTCTAATTTGCTGTCATACTCATAGGCCAGAATTGTGAAGTTGTGTTGCTTTCGGTAAGTTGTATGCTAATCGTCCTGATGCTTCTTTTACTTCTCATGCCTTCTCTGTCAGCTATCTGCTCCATGACCAAATCGGACCATGTACACTTAGGATCACATACTCTGCTCATACGGATCTTAGTGTAAAATTTCAGAGCCATAGAAGCAGGTATCCCTGCTTCAACTTCCCTTCCCTTATGTTTTAAGTTGCTTCTTATCATCTGATCTCTTCAATGACATCTTATATCATCAGCCATTCATTCAGGGGCAGGACCTCCCTTGAGGGCTCTGCTTGTCTTCATTTTATTTGCTCTTTTTGTTTTTATGTTAATTTTTCATAACTGCGCCTGTTGTTTTTTCAGGGACTACACTAATCTAAGTCTTCCTGTTGCACCATCAGCTATTGATGGAAGTGGTCTGGTAAGTCAGTACAGGTTACCCGTGTTTTGCTTAGGTGCAGTCGTGTATAACTGGGTCCATTGCAGTTGCAAGGTGGTATTCTTGGCCAATGTTTGTGTAGCTCATTATTGATTCTAGAATTAGCCACTTCATTGTGATTCCTGTCATGTACCATGAAATGTTTGATGATGTGCTTGTGTGGATGAGCATGGTCTTTCGTGTTTGTGAAAGAGTTGGAATATGAACTCTGCTGAACAATTAGTCGGAGTTATCTTCGCTTGTTATATTGTGTTTTATTATCATCCATAATTGTCAATATTTGATTGATGAACTTTTGTTATCTTATTGCAGTTCACTGTGGGTCAGGATGGGAGAAAGCTAGAGCCTGAAAGTAATGTCCTTCTTGCATCAATAGAGAACATGCAGTATGCTGTCACTTTGGATGTTCTCCACATGGTATGGTACCATTGAATTTTTTTATTGCCCGTGATCCATTTTCATTTTGAAGATCCTCTAATTACCATTTACTTTTGTTATGCTAGGTCTTCTCTTCTTTTGGACCTGTTCAGAAGATTGCTATGTTTGACAAAAATGGTGGACTTCAAGCTTTGATTCAGTACCCTGGTATACCTCAATGCTCTGTCTAGTTTATGACTGTAGTAATGTAGTAAATGACTGATCTACTTTTGAAGTGTGGTATAAGGTGATAGGGACATTAATGTGTAAAAGAATTTTAACCACCTGTATGTGTCTACAGTTGCAACATGGTAGAAAGTTGTTAACATTTCTAAGCTTGAAAGTTGCCATAGTTCTTATTCAATTATGGCATTCAACAATTGTGTTTTTGGCTTGCAGATGTCCAGACTGCCATGGTAGCCAAAGAAGCACTGGAAGGACACTGCATTTACGATGGAGGCTTTTGCAAACTTCATCTCTCGTACTCTCGCCATAATGATCTCAGCATAAAGGTAATTGGACTTTCTCTCTTTATCTACCATCATGATGGCAGGTTAACTTACTAACGACAGACATTATTGTTGTATTGTCATTTGAATTACAGGTCAATAACGACAGAAGTAGGGACTACACAATCCCCAATACTCCAATGATGAACCCTCAGCCTTCACTCTTAGGACAGCAGCCAATGGGCGGAGGTCAGTATCCTCAGACGGCCGAGCATCAAATGATGCCGCCTCAAGCTTCAGCCGGATGGGGTGCCGGTGTTCCTCCAGGTCCTCCTCCACATTCAATGCCGCAGCAGATGAATAGTAATGCCTACATGCCACCGGGTGGAGGCAATAGTAACGCGTACATGCCACCACCGGGTGGGGGGAATAGCAATGCGTACATGCCACCAGGTGGGGGTAATAGTAATGCATACATGCCACCAGGTGGGGGTAATAGTAATGCGTACATACCACCAGGTGGTATGCCCCCTCACGGAGGCCATGGAATGATGCATATGTCCTCCCATGGTGGCATGCCGCCGCCACCATCTTCAATGGGCCATCATTATAGGCCTGCTCAATAGCATCTCCGCTTTTGTTCCGGAACGAGGAGAAGTGCATAGACTTGGATCACCAGCTGAACACCAATGTTGCAGCAATCTCTTTCCTTTTCGGATGACAACAGATGGTGCTGGCTGATACAAGTGTTCTGAACTACTAAGGTTTTGATTGTTGGCTGTAGAATCGAAACATTTTGATGTATTTTGTTGGATGATAATGCAGACATGTTGTAATGTGGTCGAATTTTTCCGTTTTTCTCTTAATCATGGCGGATATTTGCATCATTTACTGGCTGTCGAGTTTGCTGCTATTTCTGGTGTTAAAAAACAGGAGAATTTGAAGATAAACGGGTCGGTCTGAGTATGTCGAGAATATTAGGTTTTCATATGGGATTGTTGAGTGTAATGTCTGGAAAGGGGTGGCATTGGACCTGTTTTTGGTTCATGTAGTTTCATATAGTATAATAGGGTGCTTGGTTTAGTCATAGACTTGAGACTTGAGAGTTGAGAGTAGTTTCCTTGGAGTTGAAGCTGAACCATATAATAGCCCAAAATGACGGCCAGTTGTCCACAATCATGTTCATTCGAACTTTCATTATGTGGGTTTGTTATGAGAAGAAGAGTGCAAGTGGAGTTACGGGTTACACAGCAAGTGGCGTATTAGTTTGGAGGTTTCCTCCTCCTTTTACGATTTCTCATGTGTTCCTTAAATAGTCCATGGAAAAGTTGCTCACTTTTACGAGATTTCGTTACATATGCCTGTGACATCAACATGAATTCATTTGTTATAAGTAAATAACATTTTAATGTGGTGGAAATTGTTGTGATCAGTGATAGTATTCAACAATTCTCACCACATAAATTGAGATCGAGCACAATTGCATATTCTAGTTATCAAATATGATGTCGAGCCAAAAAAGAGAAATGAACAGAACAAAGAATTTAACAGAAGATCATATTGAAGTCAAACGTTACAACGAGTAGTAAAGTATTAAGTAGTTGAGAGAAATGAACACAACAAAGAATTCTCACCACTAAATATATGTGAGAGTCATTCATAAGTTTTAGTAAATTTTTTTTTGTGTTCGATTCAAATACTACATGAATTCAACTAATTGATATTTTTAAGGAATTCAACTCTAAAAGATAGATAATATATATTACAAAGCATGTGCTTAATATGATAAAAAAAAGTTAATTAAACAGAGGTATCGCATAATTAAGAAAATATCAATTATATATATTTCGAGTTGCATCATTTAATCATATAGTCAAAATTGACAAAATACCAACATGAAGTGACCAACCAATATTAGCAACACACATTAAATCGTTGTCACATGAAAAAGTTTGATGTAACTAATATAGTCGAGACTGGAATGAGGATAGATTTTTTTAATTTTTATGGCCTAAACGAACTCAAACGAGTGTAGGGGATGCTTTTGAAACTTGTTTATGGCAGGAATAGTGGCAATGGAATAGGCCGGCGCCAATTTCAATCTCATATGACATATCATAATCGCAGATATATGAACTCTCTCAGCCAGCCAAGGGGATAAGATTAGCAGAGCAGCCACGAATCACTCACTCATTTTGCCTTGCTCTCTCCTTCCGCTGGCTGCTTTGCCTTTCTGCTCACTCCATCTTCTCCTCCCTTCAGCTCAGCCAGCCGGAAGGAAGCTCCGGAGAACAACCAAAGGAACCCTAATCACCGAAAATGGCCATTGCCCTCCAAGCTTCTCTTCTCTGCAGACCTTCCTTCTCCCTCAAACACCCTTTTCATCATTCCCCACCTCGCCATTCTCCATCTACTTCTGCTTCTGGCCCCAATTTCCCCACTTTCCTTATCCCTTCTCGATTCCCCGTTCGCACTTACCGCACTTCCTGCACATTGAATCCCGATAACCCAAATTTCTTCTCCTCTTCTTCTTCCTCTTCCTCGTCTTCTTCTTTCCCTTCTTTCCCTCCTCCTTCGGATTCGGTCTTGGACCCGGCTTCGTCCGCTTCCGGGTTATCCAGGCCCGACGACGGGATTCACCTCGACCCGTCCACTCTCCAATTGGCCTCCGACCCGCAGAGCGCCGGCGACGCGGAGTTCAAGGCCGAGAATTTATCCTCTGGCGATGACGAGGCGGCGGCGGCGGCGGAGGATGGGGAAGGAGAGAAGGTGAAGGGCGGGAAAAGCAAGTTGCCCCTGGTGGTTTTCCTGATGGGTATATGGGCTGCTTTCCGGAGACGGGTCGATTACCTCTTGGCTTCTGATTGGCTTAGCTGGTTCCCGTTTTGGCGGCAGGAGAAGCGGCTGGAGCGTCTCATTGACGAAGCGGATGCTAGTCCCCAAGACCCTGTCAAGCAAACTGCGCTCTTGGTCGAGCTCAACAAGCACAGGTAAGAAAGAAAGTTGTCATCTTTTTTTTGTGTGGGGAAAGACATGTCGACAATGGTCTTATTGTTCTCCATTATCACTTTGTAGTCCTGAGTCTGTGATCAAGAGGTTTGAACAAAGAGAACATGCTGTGGACAGTAGGGGAGTGGCAGAGTATCTCAGGGCACTTGTGGTTACTAATGCTATTGCTGATTTCCTTCCTGATGAGCAGTCAGGGAAGCCTTCTAGTCTTCCTGCATTGGTAATTTAGAGTTCATTTTCTTCTTGTTTGGGATTTTGCTACTTAGTGCCACTTAATCTGGAGAGCCTGACCATGGTTGTTTCAATCAGCTTCAAGAACTAAAGCAGCGGGTGGCTGGGAATACCGATGAGCCTTTTGTTAACCCTGGCTTGTCTGAGAAGCAGCCATTGCATGTGGTGATGGTAAGTGCTGAGTGAGCTTCCTTCATTTTTTGGTGAAATGTGCTGAGTTTCTTTCTTTTCATGCCAATGGTTTTGTCATTGTACCAAGCTATTTGACTCTTTGTTTGGCTTCTAATGATATGTTGATTTTCATTCTTAGGTTGATCGCAAAGTGTCTCAAAAGTCGCGGTTTGCCCAAGAGCTTATCTCCACTATTTTGTTCACTGTGGCGGTTGGACTCATCTGGTATGTGTTGGTGTCTTTTTCATACTACGGTGGAGTTTCTTTAAATCTGTTTGGTTTGGGCTGGCCATCTTGGCCGTGAAGTGAGTGATAATGGTACTGCCACATTTCGAGTTTTATACTTATCGAGATCATAACTTGTTTTTTCAGGTTAATGGGTGCAGCAGCTCTCCAGAAATATATAGGGAGCCTGGGAGGAATAGGGGCTTCAGGAGTTGGCTCAAGTTCCTCGTATTCTCCAAAGGACCATAACAAAGAAGTTATGCCTGAGAAAGTAGGCCTTAAAAACACCATGATTAGGAAAACCAAATAGCTATTAGAATATATGGCTCCTCCTAATTAGTCAGAAGATGGAACTAGACTATGTACCTTATGTCTCTCAGCTTAAATAAGTTGTGCATTAGGCTATTGTTTCCAGTTTTCCTGTAGATATGCAAATTCTCTGAATGTCATTTCTGATGATCAGCCCTATTGTCTCTTTGCATCTGGTCTATGTTTTTTCAGAATGTTAAAACATTCAAGGATGTTAAAGGCTGCGATGATGCCAAACAAGAGCTTGAGGAAGTGGTTGAATACCTCAAGAACCCTTCCAAGTTTACTCGGCTGGGTGGAAAGTTGCCAAAGGTTTGCCAGCATTGTCTTTTAACATTTCATTTCATTTAAACACTAGTGTTTGGAAAATGATACTAGGTTGCTTGGTTTGAAGACGGTTTGCATGATTCCTTGCTTAAACTCATGAGATTTGGTCCTTCAGAATAGTAATCCTGCTGCCAAATTAAGCCTGATAAAGTTTGATTATCTCTCTATTTGTGATTTAAAACCTGGTCTTCTTGTCACATGATGCATAGTTTGTAACTGAACAGCTATTTCGTCTTCTCATTATTTTGTTATTCTTGGTTCTTTTGTGGTTCTGCTTTTTCAGCTATGTTTATATTGTATGATAAATTGATGTAACTTTCCAGGGAATTCTTTTGACTGGAGCACCAGGCACTGGAAAAACTTTGCTTGCAAAGGTATGCCAAGGTTGTGCATCGTTGTTGATTTTATATTTTATGTTATAAATTCTTCCCGTCAAATGTAGCTCATTAAGCAAGCATCCCCCCTCCCTCTCCTTGTGTGCCCATTAGTACTCCGCATTAGTCCATTTTGGGTATCTGTGGCTATTTTCTGTTTGCTTTTTCCAACAATATTACTTGTTTAGGCATTGACCTTATTTCTATATCTTGTACCTCAAGGCTATTGCTGGAGAAGCTGGAGTACCTTTCTTTTATAGAGCAGGATCAGAGTTTGAGGAAATGTGAGTAATCACCTTAACTCTGTGAAGGATTGGTTAGAACAATGTTTTTCTTCTTTATGGTTCATGCCTACATGAGCATCCACTTGATCCAACTCAGCTGGTTCCGTGAGAAAAATGTGTGCATTAGTCAGAAAAATATTGTTTCTCAGAGTTGTTTTTTGGTTTCTTTCGGCAGGTTTGTTGGTGTTGGTGCCAGGCGTGTGAGATCCCTGTTCCAAGCAGCTAAGAAGAAGGTTTGCACAAAGAAACGCTTTCTTTTGTTCAAGCATGTAGCCTTTTCCTTATCTTGTGATTTGTGCCCCCCGCATCTTACCAGTAATTGAACTGAGCAAGATATTGACAATAGTAAATAACCTCTGTTTTCCTTGTCCTAATCTGTATCGGTGATTGTTTAATGGTCTGTTGCATGGTAATTTTGCACTCATCAATTGCACTACTTTTGGTCCAACAGGCTCCTTGTATCATCTTTATTGATGAAATTGATGCTGTTGGTTCAACAAGAAAACAATGGGAAGGCCATACAAAGAAGACTTTACATCAGTTACTTGTTGAAATGGATGGTTTTGAACAAAATGAGGTATGTAGTAAAGAGATTGCTTTCGAAAAATTCATTCTGTCTCCTGAATTTCTTATGCAGTCTTTTCCTTGCAGGGAATAATATTAATGGCTGCAACAAACTTGCCTGATATTCTTGATCCAGCTTTGACCAGACCTGGTAGATTTGATAGACATGTAAGTTCATATCTACTTTTGGCTATCAGTCCACATACATTTTAATACTCTGTAATTTTGACCCAGAATTCGGAATATTTAACTCTGTCAAGAAAATTCAAACCATATAGTTATCTTCTGAATCCAACTGACAGTAGTCTCTTTTCAGATTGTGGTTCCCAATCCAGATGTACGAGGACGTCAAGAGATATTGGAGCTGTATCTGAAAGACAAACCTATTTCTGATGATGTGGATGTTAAAGCGATTGCTCGGGGGACACCTGGTTTCAATGGAGCTGGTAAATGCTGTTCAATTGAACTGTTTTCCAAATAATCTGTTTTGGTTTATCAGTTTTCTTCAGGCTCTCTTCCTGACATACTTCACCACCTGTTTGAATCTAGATCTGGCGAACTTGGTGAATATTGCTGCCATTAAAGCAGCAGTGGAAGGGGCAGAGAAATTGAATGGTGTACAGCTGGAGTTTGCTAAAGACAGGATCATCATGGGAACCGAGCGCAAGACGATGTTCGTATCAGAAGACTCGAAGAAGGTGATTTGTTAATATGATGTGTCAAACAATTTTAACCCTCAATTGCTCTTACAGATGGATTTTTCACAACATTCCTTTTTTTTTCAGTTGACTGCATATCACGAGAGTGGACATGCCATCGTAGCTTTCAACACCGAAGGTGCACATCCGATTCACAAGGCGACCATAATGCCACGTGGCTCTGCTCTAGGAATGGTCACCCAACTTCCTTCAAACGATGAGACTTCAATAAGCAAGAAGCAGTTACTAGCTAGGTTAGATGTTTGCATGGGAGGAAGAGTCGCCGAAGAGCTTATCTTCGGACAGGATCATGTCACAACAGGAGCAAGTAGTGATCTGAGCACAGCTACAGAGCTCGCACAGTATATGGTAAGTGGGAAATGAGTTTCATCTTTCAAACTAATGTCTACTTGTCTAATCAATCATCATACTTAAGTGGTTCAGTTCTTGGTTAACCGATGAACCGGAATTGGTTAATCACTCGTACTTAGACTGTATATGTGATGCTTGATGATATTGTTCTCAAGGTATCAAGCTGTGGAATGAGTGACGTAATTGGACCAGTCCATCTCAAGGAACGACCCAGTTCAGAAATGCAATCAAGGATTGATGCTGAAGTATGTCTTCATCTAATTACTCGATAACGATATATTTCCTCTTTCTGTAGTACGATGTCACATTCGATCAAATCACTTGTTCATAGGTTGTGAAACTTCTGAGAGAAGCATACGATCGTGTGAAGGCCCTGCTGAAGAAGGTTTGTTGATGCTTGTTTATATTGTTCCCCAATAACACCGTTGATGCATGCAAATTTTTACATGTTTGCTGATATCCTATGTCCTTTCTTTTATTTAGCATGAGAAGGCGTTGCATGCACTGGCAAATGCTCTTCTAGAGTACGAGACGCTGACATCGGAGGAAATAAAGAGGATCCTGATGCCATACAGGGAAGGGAAGCTGCCGGAGACGCGAGAGGTAGAACAACAAGAACAAGGTGATCTTGTGCTGGCTTGACCATTTGTCTAGAAGGAAGATGATCCCGGGTATTATTCAGTGGATGACCAGTAATGGAAAAAGGGGAGGAGCTCTGTGTACAGAATACAGGCGCTTATTTGTATACTTCGATTTTTTTCGAGCCTTAGATGTTCCTCCCCATGATGCTCTTCCGGAGACGCTTAACGGGAAGCTTCTTCATACGCAGGCAGGCAGGCAGCCTTAGCCACCCTGCCGCCGGTGGCCCGGGAAGCATGTAGCATTAGTGTGTCAGAAATGTTGTAAATTCAACAAAGGAGTCTCGACTCAGCTTCTCCTCTTTCCTCCTTCAGGGCCAAATTTTGAGCAACATTTTATTTCGACAGCTATAGCTGTTGTTTCGTGTTACAACATTCGACTTTCTATAGCTGAAATCGCTTTAGTCCCTGTCCTTTTGATCGATTCGATTGATCTCTATCACAACTTCAGAAACATTAGCATTCATAACTAGTCATATTGGTTCAATTTTCAGCATGATTTCACACTCAAAGCTCCGATACCCTCGATTTATCCAACTCCAAATATCCCAGTAAACTGGCTGAGATACAAAGAGAAAGGAGGTGCTAAGTGCAGAAAGAGGAGCAAGAACAGTTTCTTCAACAGCTAAATTTCATAGGTACCTTCAACACGAGAGTTCGCTTCTACACTAGATCCACGAGTTTTTCGCCCAATCGCACTACACTCTAAAACCTAGAATTACACTAATAACAAACCAAAAAACAAAGAGCAAGGTGCTCTGATGTCAAGCAAACGCTATGTACATCAACAGCAACTACTACACAACGACTCACAGAAACACTGGAAGAACAAACCAGACGCTGAACATGGTGGGACGAAAAAGAAGAATACAAAAACGAGGGGAGCTGAGTTTCCATTTTCACTCTTCTCTCAGATTCATGAGCGTCATAAAATGAGGGATTAAAAGAAAAAATAGCAATGTGGTCACTGAGGGAGAACCCAGCAGCATTGTAAGTTAAAGAAACAGCAGTAGCCAGCAGCAGCATCTCGAATGGAACCAAATCTTACACGAGAGCAGTCATCCAGAGCTTCATCCATCCATCATCATCTGCAATCATATTAGTGCGTGCATCTTCTTACAGTCTCTCAGCCAGCCGCGAGCAGCATAAATGCCTCACACACTCTCTCTCCCTCTCAGACCCTGTTGATTGGCTCAGTCCTGTCCTGTACTGCAAGTCGCTCAGATACATCAGCCAGCGACTTCAGGTTGCATTTGATCAGAGCTTCAACGAAGTAGCAAGTCTCGTCCTTGGTGTTCCCGTCAGGCACATCCACCACGAACGACTCGATCACCAACGTCCCTGGCCTTCCGTCGAGGATCTCTGGGTGGAGAGAGACAATCGACGAATAGTTCTGGTTGCCATGATACCAACAAGAAATTAATCAGCCACCAAGATTTAAACATTTCTTCAATGAACTGAAGAATGAAAGAAGAGACTTATGTTCATTTAAACAAACAAACCTTTAGCCTGTGATCACCACCAACAATGCGCATGCTGAGGAGATGTGCCTCGTCATCTAGAAGCTCTAGTCTTTCGGTACTGGTAGTAGCTGGAAGCCCTGACTTGACATCGATTTCTCTGAGACTCCCGATCTCGAGGTTTCCCCTCGCTACACATCTGCTTATGAATGGCTTGTACTTCTGCGGTTGATCAAATCTCCTAACCAGCGACCAAACCTGCTCATTTTAAACCAGGAGCAAATGAAATTAGCATTCGTTCCCAACAGAGAAGCATTGAGACTACTGATAGCTACAAAAACCCAAAGAAGGAAACCCAAGAAGAAAAAAACCCTCAGAGCTGTAATTACTTTTCTGAAACCCCTCATATGAACAAACTGCAGGAATTAAAGAGACTAAAAACCAAGACATCCATGGAGGACTAGCATTTAGTAGCACAAAACAGAGCAATTTCCAGAATATCTACATAACTAGGGCTCAACGATTATGCATTCCATTGAAGAACATCCCCAGCACTATTCTTCTCAGAGTAAAAAACAAATGAATCGTCATCAACAACAAAGGCTACAGTACACCGACCGATCTGAACAAGGAATCAGAATCATCAGATCAAATAAGCAAACACCAGGTAGCCAATAGCCATGAATTCAGGTCAAACAAGAGAGCTCCGATCATAATTAGAGAGGACCATTTGATAAAATCGCATCGGGAAAGCAAGAAAGAAAGAAAGAAAGAACCTAGAATCGCAATAGAAATGCAAAGACAGCGGGGGAAAAAAACATCAAAGAAGAAGAGAGAAACGAAACGAAACGAAACGAAACCGAATCCTCACCAGATGAACCGGAGCTTTGATGTGCTTGATGAGAACGGAGCTGCACTGTTGCTCGCTAGGATCGTGCCTGTGGTGCCTCCGAATGTACTCGCTCTCCACGCTCCCGTATCCCTTCGCCGCCGTCCCCGCCGCCGCCGCCGCCGCTCTCTCCAAATTCATCTTGTTTCCTTAATCCGGACGCAATACTCCCCTCTCCACTTTTCCGCCCCCAAGAACCGTCAGCAGAAAGATATATAGAGAGAGAGAGAGAGGTGTTGACTTCTCGCAATAGCTCTCGCTCCTTCTTCTTCTCCTCCTCCCCCGCAAGCAGTTCCCCAATTGATGCTCCTCCGATCGCCGGCCGGTGAAGGGAAAGAGGAGATTCGAATCGGCAGGGCAGAGAGAACTCTTCTTTGGTTTGTTGTTAGTGTGCGTGTGTGAGTCACCAAGAACTGCTTCTCTCTCTCTCTCTCTCTATCTTTCCTTCCTTTCTCTCTATCTATCCGTTCCGTCGTCTCATCCATCGCCTGATAAATATAATTATGACAATGAGAAATGGGGGCGAAGAAAACAAAAAAAAAAATGAGAAAAAGGAAAAATAATTTAAAAAGTGAGATGATTAATTAATTCATATCTACAGTAACCAATCCGATTTTTTCCCGGATTAATTTAAAATAATCTTGGCAATTGAGCCTTGTTTTCGTCGAGGAATTACTGCACGTGCCACTGGGTGCTCTTTTGTCCTCTTCCTCTATCTTGGCTTTTTTACCAACGGGTCGGAACGATGCCGTTTTCGTTTGGTCAACAAGCCGTAGTTAGTAGTTAGTAGTTACTGAGGCAGGGGCCAAATTAGGGATTGTTTTTCAAGATAAGTGCCCTTTAGGAGACCAATTAGTGGTAAATGAGCTGTCTAAATTAGGACCGGGTAAATTTTTGGTCAATTGTTTTCTTGCAGGGCGAAGTGGTAACGTGGGATGGGTATCACAATATTTATGTTCATCCTATACTATGGGTTAGGATTGCAATCGTATCAGATGTTATATTGGAGAAGTCAGTAAAAATATGTTTGTGTTGAAATCATGGTTTAACTATCATATTCACCTAGATCTGTCTATCAGGCTAAACTCCGATAAACAATTTTCTAATTAAACGATCGGTCGAATACAAGGTTTGCGACCACCGATGATGATAAGTAAGTGGGCGATGTACACTGTCTCTATCCCTGGTGACCTTCTAACTTCTAAGGCACCCACACCCAATCTCACTGGACCACCCATCGTCTTTCATCTTCCCCTCACAAAGTCACAACAAAGAAGACGTTGATGAATCCCCCCTTAACAAAGAAGTTACCACCAAAGTAATTTGTTCAAATGAAAGACAAGACAACAACACATATTTTCATGATTCTTTTACATATGAAGAATCATAGTAAATTGGTAAAAACATGTGGACATGCTTTATGATCATTTGACCCTCGGTTTGTTACTCATTAACTTACATGTGTCGATTGTTATCGAGTCAATTACACATCAATCGGAATTGAGCGGATCAAACATATGTGTTGTGAACAAGTTCGGACATTTTGTACTTATCCCTTCACAACAACAAGAGTAAAATAGAAAGTATTGCAACATTTACCCTTGTGGACTAGAGATAGCTACGATGCTGACAAACTGTGTATAGTTTCTGTTATGTGAGATAGCCTTTCACATTCCAACCGTTTTTTTTTTTTACCAATATATTGTCCGCGTTAGGTTTAGCCTCACACGATTTTGCTATTGAGTGCACCATGGTGATTTGCATAGAGGTCACCCATCTTTGCACTGGTTCACCCTGAGCACGTTTAACTTCAGTGTTCTTACTAGAACTCTCCCAATTTATCCCAAAACACGTCTTATCAACAAAGGTTGAATCAATCTTCATGACCCATTGATCTCTCCTGTACTTTGTCGACGTGAAATTTTTCATAAGGTGGTACACTACACCCGTCTTTAGGACTCGACTTACTCGTTGAGGTTCACCCATCATCGTTCATGAAAGACGCAGAGAGGCTATGATATCACTTATAAAATCTCAACCTTTTTTTTACCAAGATATTGTATGCTTTAGGTCTATCCCCTCACGATTTTGCTTTTGGGTGCATCATGGTGACTTCCCAAGAGTTCACCCATCTTTGCACCGCTACACTTTGAACACGTTTAACTTAACAATTCTTACTGTAGTGTAAATTAATAACGTAATTAAGGGAGAAAAGGAGTTTTATATTGTAATTCTTGAGTAAAAATGCAAAATTAAAATTGTTGTTTATATAAGGGTGTATTAGATAACTAGACCAGCCCACCGTACTTATCCATTGAGGAGACCAAAGACCATGACCATTACCCACATACTAAACTAAACTAAACAACAGTGGATGAATTAATTAAGAACCCGATTAATTAAAGGTAGCAGTAGTATTATTATTTTAAGTCGCACAAGGCTCTCGAATGTTCGTTTGGAAACTAGTCCAAAGGTCCCAACCAATTCAAGCTCCCTACCTCCCCCACGCTACAGCATTGGCGCGTGCCATATCCATCCAGCCATCCCCAAAAGTTATTACAATTGGGACTATGGTAGAGTATGTGTTAGCACCATGTTGGATTACTAATAAGTTCGAGCAATTGAAATCTAATTTGCAAATCTGAATACATCGTTTCTCGCCCCCCGAAGTACCAAGCTCGAGTGATCGACAAGTGTCAACAGCTCGGCATGAAGTTATGACCGCGTAGGTAGCGGGTGTGTGGTCGTGAAATGGGAATAGTACAAAATGACATTGACATTGAGTAGTACATGTTAAAAGAGAATTCGTATACGACGAGTTCACAGCAGGGTAACACATTTCAATGTCTGGTGGTTGATAGAGTTCAGCTCCATGTTGCGGCTCACATGTCGCTTGTTAAAAACGATTCGAAACAATCCCGAAGCAAGCAAATCGGATAAAAACTTTCAATTCCTAGCTAGCCGAGAGTAGTTAAGATACTACGAAGACAATGCGCTATGTACCCGCGCGGACAACGTCGACGACTAAATCACCCCAACTCAATTACTCCGGCTGCGAAGAGAAGAGACGGTTCATATAGTTCACAGCACCATCACGTCGTCCCGTCGTCATCATCAATGCATACGTCCATTCATCGATTCAAATCATCGAACAAATCACCGATATTGTCAACCCGTGCGTGCTTACTAACCGGTTCGCGACTCGGAGGGGGCAAGGGCTGAAGGGTTGCTGCGCGTGTGTGGACAACGCCGGGTGGTCGACGCGAGGGGGTTACTATTATTAGGAGTCGTGAATCTAAGGGCAGCCTGCACGTGACCAACTGGAGGACGGTTTTGTTTCTTTTCTTGGCATATCCATCGATCCTCTTTACCATATTATTATATGGTTCTAAATTCTAATTAGTGGGTGCCAGCCAATAGGGAGTGCCCTTATTTTAAGGGACTTTTCCAGTTTCCTTTTATCTAAATTTTTCTTCTCTTTATTTAGAAATTAAAGAAAGTACCCTTGTGAGTTGTAAATTTGTAATATAAAGTCCTCGAAATTTGGGGCCAAATGGTATCGTTCATTAAAATATTAAGGAAACCAACCAACCACTAAGAAAATGGATTCATAGTGATTAGTGGGTGTCGGATGACTCTCATCATGATGATGAATTTTTTAGTATAAATAATTTCCATATCCAAAATGTTGAGTATTATAGGTTATTCATAGTATAAATTTGAGCATATATGTGGTTAATTTCGTATTTTGATTCAATTTTATCGATGTTCATTATGGTACTATGTTACGTTGATTGGATTTAATCGGGGGTATTCACTGAAGAATTATGTTGATTGATGGGATGTATGCAAAGTTTATGGGTGAGAGGTGTATGATGTGCAAAGGAGTACTAAGAAATGGTGAGTTTTGAAAGTAGATGATGTAACATGTAGATTTCAAGATAATTTAAAGGGTTAAACTATGAAAAAAAACCCACATGTGAATTATTAAAATTTCTCATGCCCATAATTTTTGTTGTTGTTGTTGTTGTTGTTTTTCCATAATCTGTTTTTTACCGCACTTTTCAAATATTGTATTTTTGTCAAAATTTCACATTTTGTGGGATTGTGACAAAATTATGCGTAGAAATTGTTCATCAACCACAAGCAATTTTGGAGACACAATCAAGAGAGACTACTGGTACTACTACTACTACCCAATACAATGAATAAACTAATAAAATTCAATGGAAGAAACTCTTAATAATAATTGGTATGACTAAGGCGAGTTTATACGAAATCTTTGGTTGGTGAAAATAAGGTAGGATTTATTTCTGGAAAGGGCCAAAGAAAGAAAGTAAGATTGCGCCTTATACGTTATACACTTGTGGTGCAGTGTTACTCTACTCAAATTAACAAATACCAAAAACTTGGTAGCCTCATACCTCATATTCTTTCCACAATTGGTAGGACGTTATGAAGTTACCAAATTGTACATGGGATAGTAAACTAGTTAGACTAATGATTTAAGGTGTTTGTAGCAATATGTAGTAACAATTTTAGGCTCAGGGCGACCATGCACTGACCAACAATTATTCGTTTCATCTGAAGTCATTATTGGATAGTTCTCGACAGATAAATTTGAGGTGTTCATAATCTAGAGCAAATTGATTCAAACCTTTGCATGGCGGTACAAAAAACCGACGCCCTTACACCAGTAGCAGAGCTATATCCTATATTAGGGTGAGGGGTGGCCGACTATGACCCCAGAAAAAATACTTCCAGACTAAATTTTAAAATATATTTAACATGCATATACTCCAACATAGAAAAGGAAAGAAAAATTATATCATATACTCCAACATGAGAAAGATGTTCAAACGTACGTACTCACTGCAAAGAAGATGAGATAAAATGGATTGTCATTTGAAATGCCATAACATAATATTATCATACCAATTCGTTTAGTGATACAAATACGATCATGAGAAAACGATACAAATACGCGATATTCTATATGTTTCTAGACAAGGCACATCATAACTCTCTGTCTACGTAGCTACGTAACCCGACCGTCAATTGTCACTGTAAATCCAGACTGTAAAAATTGGCTTTTTACCTTGCGAGTTATGAATTATGATAACGTGTCGGCATAAGCTGAGGAAAATGACTCGTCGACCGACCGGGGCCCTATATATTGGGAGGTATTGACTAGTTTAATTAATTTGTCAAACTCGATCGAACTTTCTAGAAATGAAAGTGATATATTTGTGTATTTTTCGTGGCCTTAATCTTCTTTCTTAATTAACAGTACTTAACAACAGTACCGTACTGATTGGTTGGCTGATCAACCGAATGCATAATTAAAGATCTAGTGAGTGAGGGTGTACTTTATTCCAGATGTTGAGATTATTGGTTACAGTAGATCTCAAAGATATTTGTGGCATCGAATTAGCAGCAAATAATAATGCTTTTAGTAATATACTTATATATATGTAGTTTGAGTACTGTTGGTTGTGCTCTACAGGTTGGATGATCCTTTTAAA